CCATTGAACTGCCAAGGCCCCCATCCACCAGCGACGACAACCCAGAAGGTGTCCAGGACCAACTGGCCTTCCGAGTACGCGCGACACTCTTTTAACCCTTTCAACTTCATCCAATTCGGTTAGGTTCGTGCGAGAAAGCCAAGATGCGCTGGTTGCCCGCTTTCCTGTCCGCCTCGCTGTTCGCAGCTGGGTCGTTCGCCGCGAAGAAGACAAGTGAGGAGCGCTTCAAGGCCTTCCACATCAAGTCCCTCTCGTCGGCCCCCGTCAAGCTCTCCGATGGCTCCTACCGCGACCTCACCGCCACCCCGCGGGATTACACATCTGCCGTCCTCCTAACGGCCATGGACGCTCGGTTCGGGTGTCAGCTATGCCGAGAGTTCCAGCCCGAGTGGGATCTGCTCTCGCGCAGCTGGATCAAGGGGGACAAGGCCGCTGCCTCGCGGGTTGTCTTTGCGACGCTGGACTTCGCTGACGGGAGAGACACCTTCATGAGCGTACGTCGGCACTCTGGTTCGGATCGCACGGGAACGAATGCTAACATGCCGCTTTTGGGGGGGGGTTATAGCTCAGCTTGCAAACAGCGCCAGTGCTGTTGCTCTTCCCACCTACGACCGGTCCTCACGCCGCCGCCTCGTCCGAGCCGCTGCGATATGACTTTACGGCTGGGTAAGTGGAGAGAAGGATGGAATGATTCTTTGGGGCTGAACAACAAACTTACGAGTGTCTCTGCCAGACCCCCCTCCGCCGAGATGGTCCACGCCTGGATTGCCCGCCACACCCCCGACCGCCCTCACCCGCAGGTCAAGCGCCCGATCAACTGGATCAAGTGGGTCACCACCATTGTGGCCGTGTCGGGCAGCTTTACTGCCGCCTACGTCGCCTGGCCCATCGTCCTGCCCATCATCCAGAGCCGCAACGTCTGGGCCGCCATTAGCCTGATCGCCATCCTGCTGTTCACCAGCGGCCACATGTTCAACCACATCCGCCAAGTTCCCTACGTGGCCGGCGATGGCAAGGGCGGTGTCAACTACTTTGCCGCCGGCTTCCAGAACCAATACGGCATGGAAACCCAGGTTGTGGCTGCCATGTGTATGTCTTATTTCTCCCTTCCTCGTAAAACAACCCCTTTGTGAGTTTCTTGGCTGACACACAAAAAACAGACGGTGTTCTGTCCTTTGCTGCAATCTCCCTGGCGGTCAAGGTCCCCAGGATTGCCGACCCCAAGGCGCAGGGCGTTGCTGTTCTGGCCTGGGGTGGCGTCATGGTCGTCATGTACAGCTTCCTCCTCAGCGTCTTCCGCATCAAGAACGCCGGTTACCCCTTCTCTCTGCCGCCGTTCATGTAAGCTTGCCAGTTTACACACTTGCGTAGACGTAAGATGGCAAAACCTGTGATTTTGCCACATCCGTAATACCTATCCAAAACAGAGGCCAGCATCACTAGCCGAAAACAGGACACCATTTGCGATGATGGAAGTGATTTGGATTTTTGGCCTGTACAAGTATTTTACTTTTTTAAGCGGCGTACATAGAGGAATGGAAAAGTTCTTTCGCGCTGACGCTTGACTCATTGCGCTCAACGGTGGTTCGGGCCATAATAGCTCGACATGTGGGTACCTAGATGTTTACAAGTTGAGGTCGTGGAACTGCTTCAGTATTCACTTGTATTACCAGAGATAGTTGGCGAGAGCTCGCTTCAGGTTGACACTGAACTGTGAGGACCCGGCGCTAAACTCGTAGTGTTACGGAGACAAACAAAGGTTCAGCTGATATTTATGATCACAAAAATGTGTCCCATTTCATTGTTTCCACATACAGTATGTACCCTCTGTTAACATCCTCTGTTCACATACGTCCACCATCCGCACCCCAGTATACAACCTTCTTAATTCCCTTATGGCCGAGTTCCGTTCATTTTTTGGGGTCAAGAGGAGGTTTCGGCATATGCCGCCTGGTCCAACTCGCCACGCGCTGGTGATAGTTGCTGAGGAGAGAAAGACGGAGAGTTAGAAAGAGTTGTGCTCCAGCAATGAACATCTCTGACAAAGGTTGAGAAAAGGAAAAGAGGAAGGAAGGGATTAGCGGCTGGTGGTGCTAGGCTGGTGGTGGTGAATGGCTACGCTTGATGTTGATGTAGGCCTGACCGCAGCTGGGGCAGAACACCTCGTCCTTGCCGCCCTTTTTGGGGCAGTTGTTGATGATGCAGGTCTGGCATTCCAAGCAGATCCCCTCGGTGATGCCGCAGCCGGTGCATTTCTTCTTGTAGCAGTTGCACTCGTCGTCGTTGTTGGCGTTGTTCTTCTCGCACTTGACCCGCGGGTGACAAAAGCAGACACAGCACTCCTCGGTCTCCGGGATGATGGGGGAATCGCAGTGGATGCAGTACCTTGACTTCTTGTTGGTGACGGCGGCGGAATTGCCGCCCTTCTCCTCGGTCTTGATGACGCGCTTCTCCTCAACGCGTTCCTCTTTAAGGGGGCTTGAGCGAGACACGTAGCTCAGTCTTCTCATCGTGCAGTAGGGGCAGGCTGCACACCAGCAGCCGGGCTGATCGGTGATTCCGCAGTCCGCGCACTTTTTCTTCTGGCAGTTGCAGTTGTAATCCTGGCACTTGATCCGCGGGTTGCGGAAGCAAATGCACTGCTGCTCAGTGGCCGTGACGATGGGACTGTCGCAATGGAGACAGTACTCGGGCTTGTTCTTGGCCATCGTTGCGTTGTTGGTAGCCATGGCGATAGCGGATGTAGTTTGGCGATAGCTGAAGAAGTAATGAGGGTGAGTGAGTGGCGGCAATAGTGGATGGTACTGGAAAAGTGCGGGTGAGTGGCGATGAGCGTGAATGCATGGAGGTAACGATTGACGATACTGCAGGTGTGCGAGTGAGTGAGGGTGAATGAGTGGTGGTGATAGAGGCTAAAACTTTTGGCCTTTCGATGAAAATAGAGACACATTGGCTACTTGGTAACCTGGGTGACCGTGACGGTGACTTGGAGATAACATGGCAAGTCTGGATGAAAAATATTGGGATGAAATCTTTTGGACGACTGTGGTTATTCCCTTGGTTATTTCTGATGAATTCCGTTATATTCGGCATCCATCTCTCAAGATGGCATAGCCTCTTTTGAATCTTTCCAAAGCAAAGCTCGAGACATCTCAGATTCGACTCACAATGTATACAATTCCCTTGCCTTTGTAGCTGCAAGAAGGGGACCAGGCAACCTTGAAAACGGAGGCACAATGTCAGCTTGGTGCTAGTTGAGGGCGCGACTTGTCGTATGTAAACATCATTCAACCAGCTTTCCCGCTGGATGGGTTGATAGGGAGCTGGGTAGTCTTTACCAAGCTCGTTGATCATCTTTCACAGGTGTAGATTTAATCGAAAGCAGTAGGTCGATGGTGTTTGGAGCATGATTGAAGAGCGTTACATGTGTGTGGACGTAAGACTCGGCAACAGAATCAATTCAAAATTAACTTCAATCCAGTCAAGTGTCACGCTTGGACACTGTTTTCGGCTTGATCTGTGTCAGATCCAGTTGAATATCATCATGGTCAGTGCTTACAAAAAGATGGAACCATGAAAAATTACAGATGGAAAAGCGAGTTGGAACTGATCGTGTTTGAACCTAAAAGAGAAAACATGAGGAGTCGAAAACCTACAAGCTCACCGAGTGATAAGTACTTGAGCTTAGTCGTATAACAGGGTAAGATATAAAAAGGAAACAGTGCACAGTAAATGCTCATTCATAATGAACGAGACAAAGGCAGGTAACGAGAAGATCCTACCCATGGGCAAGTGTTGAATTGGTCTCTGCTATACTGACAAATTTGGTAACGATAGGTTAACCAAGACAAGTGAGGGTTTATCCTGTAGATGCTTCCCTCACCCCACCCGTCCGTCTTGCCTCATGTTCAACAGCTCTTCATCGAAGACCATGGTGAGCCCCAAGGACGACTCTGTGAGTGCTTTCTCAAGCTCTAGAACGTCGGAACAAACCCCGACCAATGTCTTAGCTCAGACAGCTTTTAGGCTCTGAAGCGTAAGCTCCAGTTCAATCGTCTGCGACTTTCTCAAATTCGAGCTTGGTGAAGGGTGAATTCGCTGCTCCTGCCGAGGAGCCAAAGATTCCTATTGTATATAGACCACTGCATTTTGTTTCAAATCTAATACGTGGAGGACAAGAAGAAAGGGACCTGAATACAACATGTAGGCGTGACAGACGAAAGATGTCCTAAACACCAATCCACCCTGGGGGGTCGTGAATATAGGAACACTGTGGGAAGTAATTTTAGGTAATCCAATATTCGTTGCAGGCCAGCGAGACGACCGTGTTAAATGTATGTATCAGTCCGAGGGCCCTTGGACTTGCGACTTTGGCTTTCACCCACTTTGTTATCGGTTTTAAAATAGGTACCTATGACTAACAAGTTAATTACAATTCAACCTAATATTTTACATGGGTTACAGTGGTTCATAATGAATGCGGCAGCAAAATCTGTACGAAGACGGAGGCCGGAATTTCTTTCTAGGTTTCTTATTCTTTTTCTATCTCTAATTTTTTTTATGGAGCATATTATCTTATCTGACGAAGTACTAGACTCGGAAAGAAACTCTCGACTTCCTACAAAAATTGAGCCTACTGATTCTCGACAAACTTTATTTAATACGCCCCCGTGAGAGAGGATGAGAACGAATATCATTCTTTTCACTGGCAATAATCACTAAATCTGATGGAGCTAATAAACCCAAAAATAATAGCTTCCGTAATACCTCTCAATTCTTTCCCTCATCGCGTTCATGAACGCCATTCAACTCAACGAGCCACACCATAATTAGTTCTAGTAGTTGGCAACCCCCGATAGCAATACAAACTTTAGCAATGCCACTTGTGATCTAAACGGAGGACATGCAAAAAGAAATTATAGATCTTAACCGAACCGAGTTGTCTCACCAGCTATCCGTACATGATATATGATGATGTACGGATGACCGGCAAAAGTATATGAGAAGAGTGGGAATCGAACCCACGCTCTTTCGAACCACGGAATCTGAAGGTTAAACTAAACAGATGTTGATTAAAGACTCTTTAAGGGACCTTAACGTGGCGCCTTAACCGCTCGGCCATCTTCCCTGTTTGCTTTTTGATGATGCATGGAGCAGGTAGCGAGCCAGATAAGAGAGTGAGTGGGTGGATGGTGGGGGGCTGTGAAAATTCTCCCTATCGACGAAGTGGATGATTTGGTTTGGAGCCTTGGTGTGTGTTGTGGAGTCTAAGTGTGGGTGGGTAATGGATTTTTTTTTATCTCTATTGATAGCACGATATTTGCGGCAGCTTGGGAGAAGCATGCTGCAATGGGGTGAAGCTACTGGGCAGCTTTGCAGGGAAGTGATAGGTTAAAAGGTGGTATAGCCTTGGGGTGAAGTTAAGATGACGGGGACACCAAGTAATTTCTCGGTGAGTAAAAAAGAGGTGAATAACATAACCAGTGGCTAGAATGCCCAATTCCTCAAATTGCAGGCTGGGTGGTCTTTTAGTTTCCTCCAGCTAGAGTAATACAACACCTAACAAAATAAGTGCTTGGCAGAAAAATGCCCACTCCAAAGCTGGGTCTAAAGCTAAGAGTAAAACGTGATGCCATCCGGGGGTATCCGTCCTTTCACCCACCTGTTTCCCGTAAACCTGCAGGTTCATCTCATGGCAAGAAACGAACCATAACCACAAACAGAGCTCAGGACATTTCTTTCACCTCATATTTCCCCAACTAGTGTGTGTGAGATGGAACACCACGCGGTGCGATGCGGTGCGGTCGGCGAGGCAGGCATGTGTCTTAGGTACATTCGTCAGAGAGCAATCGAGTCTATATACAGGGAATCAATCCGACGGTTGAAGAAAACGAGAACGAAAAGGACAAAGAAACGCCGATTTCGCGTGCGTAGGCTGATCTGTAACGCTAGGTCTTTCTTCCCCGTTTCCGAACTCTAGCATTCAGGGGTATCCTTCTCCTGTTCCTCCATAATTTTGTAGTTTGATGTTTTTTAAGTTGACAGCTGTAAAGTGACTTGGCGAACTGTATTCTATACTTTATTTAGTTCCCCGCTTACGCCTCCCTCCCGATGCCAAATCATCCTAGGCTAGGTATACCCAGCGCCTGCCAAGTGTTCTGTTTGCTGTAATTAGGTGTCTACCTGGTTATGAGCCTTGAAAGAAAGGTCTATGCTCTCGTCGGTAAGGGAGAAAATTGAGAGTCTCAAGCGTTCGAGAATGAGGATGACGGTGTGTAAAATGATGCTTCGGCACGACCGACAATGGACGATGGATTGGGTACTGCAACTATTGCAACAGCGGCGTCTCCTCTGGCGGCTTTAGGCTGACGAGGAAATCGCGACAGAGTTCGAAACTGAGCCAGCTGGACGCCATACTTGGCGCAACCTTGAGGAGATTGGGGACGATTCCCTTGTACATGCCCTTAATCCCCTCTTGGCTCACGATGACGCGAACGGCGTCGAATATGGACTTGTACTGATAGCCCATTCCCGACATGGTGTTGATCTGGAATCGTCGTCGTAACACATCACTGCGACCTGCGTTAACGATGTGATGCAAGCAGGGAGGCATGCTGCAGAGACTTACAATGGATATGTGAATGTTTGCGCTACGGCGCCAGACACTGCACCAGCGAGAAGCTTCCTAGCCGCGCTGGGATTCTGGTCGCCATCCAACGTCAAGTACTGCCGAACATACTCGTACGTCATAAAGTTGAGACCGACCTTTTGTTTCCGGTTAGCTTCAAGGGCCAGCGCATATCTTTTGTGGCCATGGCTCAACATACGTATGGCGCAACGCCGGCAACAGTGGGGACAATTCCTCGGTATAGGGCAACGAATCCTCCCTCAGTCCTGTACATCATAACCATTGTCTCCCACATGCCCGGCAGGCGTTTTGGCCGTGCGCCAAGCTCAGCGAAGGAGGCGGACTGAATCGAGAGGCGCGTGCGCACAATGTCGAGCGGATACGTGAAGCTGACGGATGTAATGCCGGCCATGCCACCACATATCAGGCGCGCAAAAGGCGTGAGCGTGTCTCCTGAGAATCGTTCGAAAATACTCTATAGCGCCAGCAAACGAGGATCAGCATATTGCTGTTCATCTGTACACACTGCCTCGGAGGAGGACAGAAGGCCCTCAGACAGAGCTGGCGGAAATCCAAGCTTTTTTGGAGACGGGACATAGAAAGCAACCCACCCTCTTATAGAAATTATAACTTCCGAACTGGACGGCCGAGTACGGGACGATGCGGATGCAGTTGGTGCCATTGCCCCGCATAAAGCCGCGCCAGCCCTCCTCCTTCCACATCTTGGCCAGAGCCTTCCCGACGCTGAGCTGGTACGCATTGCGGCCGGCGCTCTGGACCTGGAACAGGATCTTGAGGCGCTCGAGGGGCGACACGACGGTACGGGAGACGGCGCCGGCAACGCCACCGGCGCAAAAGGCGGCCACGACGGGATCGGAGATCAGGCCTTTAAACTGCTCGGTGGTGCTCGGTTTCGGCGGCGGCGGTGGCGTCGTGGTCGCCGTCAGCTCGGACGAGTCGCGCATCACGTCGGCGGGGGACGGTGCCGCGGCGTGGAGCTGGGGTGTTTGCTTTGTCTGTTTCGTGGCCATAAGAAAGCCGCTGGTCAGCATTCCGAAACCGCCTAGTCAGGTCATCGTGTGGAGGAAACGCAACACAGCATCACATCATGCTGCTGCTGCTGGTCACCCGCCCAATTGCTCCCAAACGAGAAGGGGCAGACGTACAGCTGACATGCTGAAGAATCCAGCAGTAGAGCCCTCAGGTCGGGCTCAAAGAGAAGGTTGTTTCGTGGGCTTATGGGGGAGAGTTTTTTTTGTGGCGGAAGGCGAGGCGAGAGAGCTGTTGTCGTGGCCGCGCCAAGGCCATGTGCATATGGTGGCGCCACAACAACAGGATCTCCTTCGTATTGAGAGGCTTTTCGGAGAAAAGGGTCGTCGAACATACAATCACGGTACTGGGGAATCGGAAAGGCTTCGTAGGGCGGGTGGAGAGGTGGGTCGTCGTTCGTTCAGAGAGGTTTGGACAGGGAGGAGGACGACATGTCGGATAAGAGGAGCCGCTCATGCGTTGCCAGGTCGCATAGGGATGGAGCTGTGGCGCCTTGGTTATTTTCGAGCAAGGCTGCGCGAGCTTGTGCGTCTGCGAGGAGTGTAGCTAAACGAAGCTGGCAGAAGGACGGCTGTTGGGACGGCGGCGACGGCGACACGAGCGCGCAAGGACAACCAGGGTTGGGATTTGTGGATCGAGGAGCCCCAGTTTGAGGTTTTGTAAGGGGGGGCCGTGTGGCTTTTGGAGATTGGCTGCGGCAACCCGAATGACGAAAAAAAATCTCGAACAAGGCACAGGTGCCAAGCCCAGGGCGCAGGGAGGAGGCTCAATCGATCGTCTGGGTCTGGGTCAAAGAAAGCTTCTGCTGAAAGAGACAAGGGACAGCGGCAAACAAGGCATTCGCGACTGGAGCGCCTTGTTTTGTCGTCGGCTGGAGGCCAGCTGGACAGAAAGACAGCGCGCGAGCAGCAGCAGTCACTTATCTGTCTCGCTGATTGGCACTTAGATGGCGCTGAAATCCAGCCAACCAACGCCAAAAATCTCTAATTTAGTGAAGCTATGTACAATACTACATGGCTGGGCGACGTTGGCGGAACAGAGTTGTAACAGCCTTCTATTTCAGCCCAGTGGCCAGTGGCAGTGGCACTTTAATTCTTTTTCGACGGTTGACCGATCCGCATGTCCGGTTCAAACGGATACCGCATTTCCAGCTTACTAGAACTCTCCCGCCCCAGATTTCACACAAATCAATGTCTTGGCAATCTGGAACAGTAGGTAGCTGAGGGGATGTGATGTCTTCAGCTGACTCGCAAAGGCAACTTACCCGGAGGGATTTGCACGGCATGACAGGTGCTGGTGATCTTTCGTCAGCGCATCGACAACTACAAGTAGCTTACCTAGGAAGTACCCCCACAATCTGGAAGCACCTTCACCGCTGTAATCTGCAGCTCCCCCCTTGACTTTGATGGCCCGAAAACTGCCAGCCTGAGGAATTATACGGAGTAGATCGGAAGCCACCATCTTCCCCCGCGGCAACTCCTTTCTCCGTCCACACATTTCTTATCAATACCCAACGGCTTTGTCCTTCGAGATTGCAAATGCGATTGGCGGCTTACCTTATCGGCGCCAACTCCTTCTATTCAATGCGTCTGTGCAAGTTCTATGAACCTACATTTTTTAACAAGGACGTTGCTGGGGCCATCGCAATAAGTGTTGTCCATAGAATAGGCCCGCTGTTGTGCTCCCTTGGCAGCCGAATCGGGACGCGGTGACACGACAAAACCGATTGCCATGGCTTTTAAGACAGCGCATGACTAGCAGAAACATTTACTGACCATGGGGCTGGCGCAAGATCCACTGGTGGATCTCTTTCGTTTCTGGGCAGTAGCCCCGAGCACCGATGTAGTTTTATGAACATATATATCACAGTGAGCTTTGTCGTGCAGTAAAAGGCAAAGCCGTCAGATTCATCCTAGTCGCTACCTAAATGGGGGATCTAGTTTACTTTTTTTCCTTGACCTGCCAACAAACCGAGTGAAATGAAAAGAGGAATCATCCGCCGAAGTTACGTGTGCGGCCGCTGGACGTCGCTGATGACGGCATAATTTTTTGTCTATCGCTAATAGCCTCCGGCGAGGACGCCCGACCGAGGGAACCTGGATCCGATCGACCGACTCGGAACTAAAGAGAGGATGTGACAAAACACGCTGGGCCCCCAAAGAAGCACCCAGCATCAGTAGCCCACAAGGGTAAGGAGAGAAATCCACGCAGTACACATTCTTACAGCCAGAACGGCAATCAGATATTGGTGGTGAGATGTGGCCACCAAGGCGAGAATCGCCATCTACTCGGCGACGTCGAGGTCGTCATGGGTTGGCCGCTCGGGGCTGTCGATGGCTGTGGATGGTGTCAATATTTATTCGGGGGCGGCCGATGGACCAGCTCGATCGAGGGAAGGATGTCCTCACGCTTCCTGTCGTCGCCGTTTGCGCCGTTCTCACGGCGGTCGC